AACAAAAGTTATAAGTCTGCTTATACCTTTTTTCTTTTGTGGTTTAGCTTGTTTGTAATTTCTCATGCTATGCTATGTGTTGCTCTTATGAGCAAATGTTCCAAGTATTATCTGTACAAAGACCAAGTCACAGTTGGTGTCTGTTATTTGCCAAGTTTTTTTTTTCCATACCAAAGAGCTGACTCAGTGTTGTGCTTTCTCCAAAAGCTAGCATCTGTGTGCTCTTATTAAGAAATTCAAATGAATTTGATTTGTTTTCAGCTTGTAGTCTAATAGGTCATGAACAGCAGTCAAAGGATTATGGCTTTTTTATGTTTATTGTTTTCTGTGTTTGTTATAAAGAATTTGTTTTTGACAAATGGTTATTGCACAACTAACAAAAACTGTATTCTTTAAAGTCAGGATTCATTTTATATCAGTAAAATCTTTGAATTATGAAAAATTGTCTGACAGTTTTTATTTTTAGTTTATGTCTGTACTGTACATACCATCCAATGAGCTACCATTTGACTATAAGATTACAAATAGCCAGAGTTGTGAGAATCCCCCTTCACCAAAAAAGGTAAGGCACTGTTTTTCTCAAGCACTGGGCTCAGAGCCAATGTTGGAAAGGCTGTGCTAATGACTGTCACACAAAGGCCAAATGTCTCACTGTGAAGCATAAACAAACTGGCTMCATTCAGCTCACTTGATCTTCTGACCGACTTTGATATGTGGATTAAATCCAACCATATGTGACTAATATCAGTTTTTGTAGCCTTTCTTCAAGTTTTTCTAACACATTCAGGCTTGTGTTCACTTTGTGTTCTTTTCATTAGTGTCATTTTCTCATATATATTTTACTCAAGCCTGTCAAAAAATGTTGTAAGGTGTTTTAAGTTTGCTCTCATTAATGAGTGTTTAACATTTTTGGAAAAAGCTGCTGAAACTCAGGTTGTCTCACACTCTGACGTTTTTGAGGGATTTGCCAGGCGTCAGTGATGCTCCTGATTGAATTTGGACTAGGAGCAGAAACTGAATGGGCAGCTTGCATTGAGGACTTAAGTGAAAGAAGATTGGGTTTCTAGAGGTGAGCTTTGCCTTTACTGTCTCCCTCTTCATTAAGCCACTGGCTACWTGCCCGGCCCAGCAACACTCTGGAACTGATGAGCTGAAGTGAGCACTTTTCGAGCATCTCCACTTTGCACAAAGCCAAGGACAAAAGGCGTGTGTATGCTTGTGTCTATGTAGATGTATGTGTTTTTACAGGCTCCTGTGAGCGAGGGGAGCGTGAACATGGAAAACGTCCTTTTAAGTGGGGTCAGGGATCTCAGGTTGTAATGGTTTATCTTCTGCTTCCGGCATGTACAGCACTTTACATACAGAAGTGTGTGTGTGTGCGCCCTCATTATAGTTTCAGAATTCATCCTTGTGCTAAATGTGTTACTTCTTCTCAAGGTGCTCATGTGATTAAATGCTAATGTTTAATCTCTGTATTCAAACTAATTTAGGTCTGGTTACTGTAATTAAAAGCTCTGACATCTGCATACAACCGGATCGTTTGCCTGCRTGTGGATGCATGACACTGTGACTTTGCTCCCTTGCCGGAGATGAAAGAGGACTGACAGTTCTGAAAATGGCCACAGGGCAGAACCTGTCATCAAACATGAGGTGGTGACACTTGCTATTGTTGGTGGTGGTGTCGGAGCTGTTTGTGAACCTCAGATAGGTAGGCCTTTAGAGAGCCAAAACAGTGTGAACATTTGCCATCAAAGTCAGCATGATGCTGGCACTTCATTCAACCTAAGGCTGCACAAAATGTGTTGTAAATTCGTGTTCAGTTGATTGTAAAACAGTCTTAGACAATTTAACAGATGAAGAGAAAGTTTTATTGGCATTAGCACTGTGATATGAAGACAATACAATAATTAATTTTCTTCAGCAAAAACAATATTTTCTTGTTTTACTGGCTGTCATTGGCAAGTTTTTCTTTTTCTCATTATGACAGAGCCCAGCTTTGTGTTAGACTTTAGCTGAGGACTGAATGCAGAGCTAATGAATTCTGACATAAAGCAATGGAAAATCTACTCTGGTATTTCTTCTATGCTGCATCTGTTGAGGTAAAAAAAAAAAAAGAGGAAGCTGCATACCTTCATTCACAAGCCCTTGAGCCACCACAGCGACACATTTGCATCTCTCCCTGCTGTCATTTTCCTTCTTTACTTTAGGGAGGAGAGTTGATGAGAGAAAAGCTACAGTGCGCTGGCAGCAAAATGTTATCTGTAAGGGGTTCCCCTGAGTTCTGAAGATTTGCCTGATCTGAAAGAGTTTAATGGAGTTGAACTAAGGGCAGTATCTGGTCAACACACAGCAGTGCATTATTGACAAGGATTTATCCAGTCCATGCAAAAAATTAAGGCTTTTCTTCAGTGGTAATTAAATCTTGTATTGAATGGTGAGAGTGTAGTTTTATTTTCTACTCTAATAAGAAAACAGTTCACAGCTGAAGGGGTGCCAGGTGGGGTTTACCATACTGCCTGGCRGTAGCAAACACAAATCATACAATTATAGTTTTGTTGTTGTTGTGGAAAGAAACCCAGCGTGCCTGCTTAAACAGTATGTAGGCACAAGAAGAACATGCAAACTGCACGTATCCTGCACAGAGATTTGAACTGAAGACCTCCCTGCTGTGAGTTGACAGTTCTAGGACACGTGTGACTGTTGGCCTAAAATAAGACACTTTTCTCAATATATTTAAAATAAAGCAACGTTGTTTTTACAACCCCAATTCTGAAAAAGTTGGGCTGTTGGCAGGATGTAAATAAAAACAGGTTGCAATGATTTGCAAATTTCATAAACCCATTAAATCCATACTGTGATGTCTATAACAGATTCAGACCCGCTTTCAATGCAGGGCTGTGAGAGGGCCCAGTATTACTTATTTTGAACTTATTTCACAACATTTGGATACATGTTTTTGCCCATGACTTTTGCCCATTTTTATTTCTGAAAGATTCAGCTTCTCTTGATGCCTTTTCTTTGTTTGTATCCTTTTGACTGACCAGATGTCAACATAATTCATTGAAAGATGCTCTTCCATTTGTTGTTTTTTTATTTTAAGCACTTTTTTGCAGCTTTTTGTTACCCCTGTCCCATTTTTTGTCAATATGTTTTGTTTTCCAATACTAAGGTACAATTTCTTTGCTTCAACATTTAATATTTGCTATGTTCCACTGTGAATAAACCATGGGTTGCTGAGATGTACAAATCTTTGCATTGTTTTTATTTACATAATCTCATAACTTCTTCAGTTGGGGGTTGAACATAGAGTACACATATTACAAAACTAGTGCTTCCTTATGATGGTATTTCCCAAAGTAGCCTTCAGTCTTGTTATAGTTATCTGACCAAAATCTCGCAAAACATAAATAAACTTGAGCAGAACCCCAAGCTCTTGTCAGTTTTTGGGCTGCATCTTTCCCTCTGGGGTGGATGTGAGAAGCACTGCAGTATCCTAGCTCTTAGCACCTCACGCTCCACTTTTACTAAATTCCCACATTACCGTTGTGTCGTTGTTCACACATGAACAGCCTGAGTGACAGTGACATTTATTGACTTTTTTTGGATGGTAACCCTGTTTGCCCCCTTGGAGCTGGAAGTATCCAGCTGTGCAGCTCTCTTTCTAAAGGCCCTAATATACCCATCGTCAATAAAGTCAGATTGACTGAACTGCAGGCCCACAGAATAAATTGCAAAAACAAGTCTCTTCCACAGTGAGCGACTGCTTTAGGTTTGCATTTATAGGAAGAAGAAATCAACTGAGCAGCCTGACTAGGAAGATGTGTTTGTCCCCGTGTTGTTTACAGCAGTTGTCTATTGTTGAATATGTTTATGATATCCGGCTTTTAATAGCTTTTCTGCTGGATGCATGAATGATTTCTCTTAAAAATATACCAGTCATAAGTGCTGCCGGCTTTAATGCACTCATCTATTTGAAATCCATTTGAGCACTGGATTGACACGGCCCTAAGCTGATCCCATCTACACTGCATTAACATTCACTGAGCAGGAAGAGAGGTGCTAATATTAAGTGGAAGAGATCTTGTGTGTTTCTCCCATTCTAATAAGTGTCAGTCAGGGTGACTCAGGCATTGCTGGTCTAATACTCTGAGGCAAGCCTTCCACCTCTCTGGCTCCTCCTCTCTGTGTGCTGTCTTCTTGGCTTTAATCAGGTGGACATTGTGTATGGATTAGGGTTGGGCAATATTGGCAAAAAAATTAATCACGATTAATTGTGGTACTTAGCCGATAACGATTAATATGACAATTAATCCCCTGGAGACCCTGGACACCCTTATGTCCYAGTCACATGACCAATTTAGTGGGAAAGATTTGCTCTTCGGAAAAATCAGTTCCAAATTGTGTCAAAATTACAGACTTCAGGCTGTACATCAAATTTTAAATTGTGTTGACAGATAAATAAATTACAGAACTTTTGTTTAAATGTTCGTCATATTTGAAGCGGAGAGGAGCACCAAGCGGACTCTGCCTGGTGGCATTAATTGTATTAATTGTCAAGAGCCAAAAAGTAATCGATTAATGTTTTTCTGACGATTAATTGCACACGATACGATTATGCCCAACCTTATTATGTATTTACTGCCCTCAGTGCCCCTGGGAGGGAAATATGATTTTTGTTCCCCCTGCGTCTTTTTGTCTCATCTCTTTATGCAATTTTAAAGATAATTTTGCCAACTTCTGTTCTTGAAAATGATCACCCTTAGTTTCTTGAAGCTTGTTTTTACTCTCTGACCTTCTGACATTCCTCTTTTCCTCTCATTTGACCCTTTGTTAAAACTATGCTCTTAATATAACCAAAATATCTTAAGAGACAGTACAGTTGGGCATTCAAAATGTATTTATTTTTGCCGAGCCTCTCCAGCTATGCAGCAAAAAATAAACCTTTTACTGATGGATTTATTCATCGAACTTGTCCTGACTTGTTGCTTTTTGTTTCCCAGCCACTCTCACTCCCCTGGGTCCATGGCAGCGGCAGTGCGAAGCAGCGAGTGGTCATGTGGACGCTGTACCTTCTTAAACACAGGCGCAGCACCTCGCTGCTCCATCTGCGAGGCCCCGCGACAGAAACCAGATCTTAACCAGATCCTGCGGCTGAGCAGCACCGAGGAACACCGCTGGGCTTGTCCACGCTGTACGCTCAACAATCCACAGGGATCCGGGGCCTGCTCTATCTGTGGTTTTGGTCCATCCTCTGCCACCCACACATCCCCTACCAATACCATAGCTGTCACTGTCAATGGCCTCCCACCTGCTGCGAATGAACCCCTAACACCTACTGCCCCCCCTGCTGTTGTGCTTGAGCCCAACGGACAGATTCCAGGTAAAGAGGAAGCGTTACGACGGTCTGAGAGCAATGGAGAGGTTGCTGGACTAGAGGGGCAGAGCTCGGGCTGGGCTTGTTCCCGGTGCACACTCCACAACACCCCGGTGGCAATGTCGTGCTCAGCTTGTGGTGGACCCAGAAAACTTTCTTTACCCAAAATCCCCCCAGAGGCACTTGTCGTGCCTGAGGTGCGTACACCTGTCGTAGGGTTTCCTGTTCCCACAGCTGGACCAGCACCGCTACTCATCGATCTAACAGATGACTCGAACACCACCCCTCCGTGTGATCCTCAAGAATCTCCCAATGTGTCTTCACAGGCCGTCTCAACACTTTTTGCTTCTTTCCCCTCCCTCCAGAATAACCCCGTGCCCCGCAGTAGACGAGAGGTACCCCCTCCCGGGCGCCCTCAAAACCCTGGAACCAACACTCCCAGCCCCACCTCCCCTTCCACAGCCATTGTACCACCACAGCCAGGCACACAGCGACCACCCAAGCCCAAGCACGCACAACCCCAGGAACCCTCGTACCCCAGCAAGCGCCTCAGCATATTGGAAGAAGAAGACACACCGCACCATCCAGTGAGTCCACACRTTGCTTCTTCCTCTGCCCCCACCTGGAAGTGCCCAAGTTGCTCCTTGCCCAACCCTAATGGCTCATCAAAGTGTGAGGCCTGTAGATCATCACGAGTTGGTGCAGACCTCATTGACCTGGTAGGCAGCGAAACGGTACGATTTACTCCAGCAAGCCCTTCTAGTCCAGACTTTAGCACCTGGGCCTGCTCTAAGTGTACCTTGCGCAACCCTACAGGTGCACAAAAGTGCTCAGCTTGTGGTTCTTCCAAACTGCATGGCTTCCAGGAGCAGCAGCCCTCATTGCCCCGCTGCTGTACACACTGTGGCCTCACAACAGGGTCTAGCACCACACCGTGCTCTTGCGCACCTTCCTCCTCAGGTCATAAAACACGAAAACAGGCCAGAGGCTTTCCTCCCTCCTCATCTGCTGTTGCTTCCTCGGTTTCCTCTTCCTCCTCCACCTCGTCTAACTTTCAGGAGAAGGTGGGACAGTGGAGCTGCCCGGCATGCACACTTCTCAACGACATCAAGGCCAAGAACTGTGCAGCATGCCACACACCCCAGCAGTACCTCACCCTTCGCAAGGTGGTTAAGCCCCTAAAAAGGAGGGAGAGCATGCACGTGGAGGCCAGGCGACGAAACGATGAGGGTGAAGCTAAGGAGCTCTGGGAGAACATTGTTAGCTTCTGCAGAGAGGTAAGAAAAACTGAACTTTTRGCATACAACTTCTACAGTTTCTTGGTCACTGGGTGTTTTGGGTGACTTTTTAAAGGCTTCAGGTGTTCTTCGGTGAAATCCTGCAGCACACCAAACTTGGCCTGGGGCTTTTTCAAGTAGCCGCAGGCCATGGGTCTGTTGCATTTCCACTGAGGTCTAAGGTATATTCTAGACTCAACAAATGAAGTCTGTGAATTTATGTCACTCCTCCTTGACACTGCTGGAGTGTTTCAGCTGCTGTGCTGGGTCAAACATCAGCTTRAGAGCTATAAAACCAGAAAGTGCACTTCATCTGCATTAACTGAAAATCTGTTAATGTTATACATTTCAACAGGAACTTGAATGTTTTCATCAGTGCCTTGGAACGTAACTGCTCAACAACCGTAAAATAATCAAAGACGAATGCGTTATTGGTCTAATTATGCTGCTTTCTCCCCATCATCTGAAAGCTGCATGGATGACTGAGTTGAAATGTTGTGCTTACAACAACAATTATTTCTTTGGGACAACTTTTAATTAATAAAATTTATTAGCTGTAGCTGAAATGAAAAGTGAGATGTTTGAGATAGAATAATGGAAATAAAACCCCAGGAATACTTCACCAATTAGAAATGTTTTGCAACAATGTTCTTGGGAAAGCTTTCTTAGAGTAAATTACATGTAAATTCATGCATAAATATATAACACATCTAAAGACGCATGCAAAACATACTGAGATGATATAATTGTCACATGGGCCTTCTGAGCACAATTTTTTTAAGTTCTGCCTTTTTGTGGCTTTTTGTTCCCATTCCTACAGTTTTCTTTTTATTTCAGAGAAATATTAGTAGGTTTTATTACCTCTGTTTGCACTTCCTTCATTAGTCTTTTTTAAACTGCTAACAAGTGAAATTTAAGTTAACTGCACACTTATCCCTGAGAGTCTAATTTTTACATTCAGAGGCTCTTGCAGTCCAAATGAAATTGCTTCTAATATTTTCAAAATATTGTTTTTTTTTTTTAGGATTATGACTCATTTTATGATCCCTTTGATTCTTGTTACGGTACACAGTAGGCCTGCTGTTCAGAGATAAAAGCTTTTGTATTTGAATGTAATTTCCCTTTAAAGGGAACTTTATTCATTTAACCAAAAGCTCATGTCATTTTTGTTTACACCCTGAAATAAAAAAGCTTAATAAGATGTATACATGTCAAAAGATTAATCTTATTTTTTTCCTATAAGGGGAAAATACTAGTTTATTTGAATTTGTTGTCAATAAATGAATGGCTTTTTTCTACATCTGATTGTAATGATCAAAGATCAAACCTGCTTTGAAGTCTTTTTTATTTTTTTAGTTTGTGGCATCTTATTGGTGTGATTCAGCATCACAGCTGTTCAGAAACACAGAGGTGTCCTCCCTAGCAACTATAGTTAAGATGTGACAGCCTTTATGTTGCGTCTTTGTATCAAACTGCTTCAAGCTTAAGTCGTCTCTGTTGAGCTGAACCTTTGATAAGCCTTTATTACGTTGTCATGGATATGTACTCTGAACTGTCAGTAGGCTTCATTTTCAACCCGTTTGTTAAGACTGCTTTACACTGAGACTAATACAACAAATCTGACTCAACCTGCAGAGTGTGGAACAGTCATGTAGCAGCCCCGAWATTTGCTGAATTTATTTGAGTGTCTGAGCGTGTGCCCCGTTTTTAATACACCGGCATTGCACCAATCATCTCGTGTTTACAATAGCGTGAAGTGAGCTTTAGAATGCATTATTAATGCCTTCTTTGAAAGTCACGGGGCACATTTCTGCGAGTGTGGGAGGGAAGTCGACTCAGAAGGGAGGAAGGATATCTGAGATCCCTCATTCCCACTCTTACCCTTCTCGTCCTAATTTAAGATTATTAAAATTACACTTTTTCTCTCTTTTTTTTTCCTTTTTTCTCCCATCTCTGCGTGGCTCTGCTCCTCAGCGCTACTGTCTTTTTCGTCTGCTTCCATCACATCTGTCTCTGAATACTCTTCTAATCTTTCTCCTCCTTTCTGCTAATGCTTTTAAATATACCATCCCCTTGCCACCCTCAACCCCTCTTGTACCCTCTCCATACAACTGCGCTCAATTCTCCAGTATGTGTCTTCGCTTGCTGTGAATGCATAAAGGTGAACACAGGGCAAGAGTATTTTTAGCAGCAGAGCAAAGCAGAAGAGGAGAGGAAGTGATCTGCTCCCCCCTGAARTGGATTTAATCATTACCAGCATCAATTGGTGTGTCTATGTTTTAGGAATCAACCCAATAAAGGGGAGGTAAATTGGTAAAGAAAGAGGTGTTGGTTTCTTTAAACCCTCTGTGTGACGGGACTAACACCAGACAAGCACCACAGCATCAGTGGAGAAAATTTAATACAGATAAAAGCTTTTGTTTGACCCTGTTTTCTTTGTTTACAAGACGTGGGGCGGCCCAACACTGTATACAGCAGTTGTCAGACTGGATGATTGTCTTTTTTGACTTATTGGATTAAGCAGATGGCAGTGTTGTTCTGAAATCCAAGTATCGGCTCATGTAGTGGTTTGCAGTAAAGACCTGCAGTAGAGCTGGAGTTATGTTGTGAGGAATAATCTCCTTTCACCCGAGTGCCATTTGTCTCTCTTGGTTTTCAGTTTTCTTGAGTGTTGCTTTTTATTTTCGATTGGAAGGTGCGTGCTCAATCCTAGAGTGCCTAAAAGCAAGTAAACAYGACTAACAGCGATGAGCTTCATGTGCAAACTGTAAAACTGCACTCTTTATATGTTTTTACTGAGAGGGAAATTGTCATTTGTTCCTTGAGTTTTTTCACACTTTGTTTCTTTGGTTTGAGATTTTGATTTACATTTTGGATTGGAAGCTCTGATTGCCTGCAGCGGCAGCTTTTCCACTGGCTGTGACGGTTCTGTGCATGCCAAGCTGTGCTTGAATGGTTTTGTTTAGTGCGTTTCCATGAAATCCAGTGCTGTAGTTCCCTGTTGCCACATTTTAAGAGATCAGTAGCAAGTAGCTATCCTGCTGCAAGTTCACCAACCTTATAAAACAAAAACTTGTCTAGTAGCCAGCTCTGTGTAGTCTGGGAGATGAAAAGGAAGCAGCAGGTTCTCCTAACTCAGCAATGAATTGGCTGATTGCAGTCATGAATTTACATTCTGGCTTGTACCCAAGGTTTGAATTAGAGACAACATGACTGGGTTTACCCACTGAGGACGGCCAATTCATGCTGATACAACTCAGATCATCACATCTTCCTATTAACAGGGAAAGATAAAGTTTTATGAAATTATATGAGGTAAAACCTTTTTTCCCTCCATATACTTAGCATGTTTTGTTTTTCATTCTTGTCTTCTCCTAATAATAATTTATGTTTTCATTTAATTTTAATATTTGTATTTGCTCTCCGCTTCTATGAGAAATCTGCATCTGCAAAATCGAAGTCTGCGCAGGATTTTCCTCAAAATCCAGTGGGCTCTGGGTTCTGTGAGCCATATGGAGACAGGATGGTTTGGGCGGAAAGGAAGCATTGAAGTGATTCTGTCAGGGAGCTGATGCTGCATCGAAGCTGCAGAATGGGATTGTGGGGGAGGGTTACCAATCAATTCGCTTTACTCTGAGCCACCAGTCGTGCCTTGCAACACAACTGGCCAAGCTCTCTCCCTACACTGTATATAGGAAATATAATCTGGCTCCTTGTGTCTCCCAGGTCTGCCCATGAGCGTTTCAGATGGACAGATAGTGTTTCGGGTTGGATGTCTCTATATGTTAATGCATCTATAGTTTAGCTGCTTTGCACAGACAGTTTTCTGTCTGTTTCAGAACATAATTACATTTGGTCTCCTTTGGTGTTCATGTAGGACRCCACACTAATGGAATATGATTCCCCCTCCACATCAGTAGAGTAGTAAAGATCTTATGGCATGTTAGTTCTGTGGAAAGATTATAAACAAATATCATCTTTAATAAAAGGGAATTTTAATTTTGCYCAAACTGATGATCTAAATGGGCTTGAACAATTCCAAGCTTAAAATCTTTGCGGCAGTTCATGAGAATGTTGTTTTATGAACATTTACACGGCCGTCAACTTCACATTACGCTGACATTCAATTGAAATTGAAGTTCTTTGATTTGGTTGATTATAATATTCTACTGGTTATGTATAAGCCTCACAAAAACACATTACCTTTCAACATCCAAGTAAATTTGGCTAAGAGAAAGAGTTATAACCTTAAAGGGACAGAGATATTTGTAAAACCCAAATTCAGAAGTAGTTTGAAGGAATGATGTACTTTAATTCAAGGAATAAAACTATGGAATAACTTGGGGAGTGATGTAATAACTGCAGGATCATTGTGTACATTTAAGAAAATTATAAAAGTTGAATTGCTAAAGAAATACGAAACAGTATAATGTGTATCTATATAGATTGTTGTTCTAGAGGGATTAGATGTTCTAGTCTTTTGTTTTGCTAATAACAGATTTGTTTTTGCTTTTTGTTATATGAAATTATTCTTGAGACAAAAGGGGCAAATATTATAAGATTGTTTGCCTCTCTCTGCTGCCTTTCATTTCATTTTATTTGTGATTTTGATATATATATTTTTTCTCTCATTTTTCTTTTTATATTTTTCTTTTTATTGTGTATTGTATATAAACTTATTTGTTTTGTTTTAATGAAGTTAATAAAATGAATAAATTGAATTGAATTGAACTGAGTTGAATTGAAAAATTCCAGTAGAATTTTTATGATATTCATGCTGGAAAAAGGAATGCTACATCTATGCTGGTATCTTCAACAGGATGTCCATGTTTTAGTGTAGCTCCAAACGACACAATATAAGGTAGCATCTCTCTAGGCCGAGTCTGTTGTATTAATTGAGGACTCAAAATTACAAGAAAATAGGCAAGAGTTTTGTTGCAGTCTCACTGAGTTCTCAGTGTTTTCGATCAGAGTTTGAAACTAAAAGTCCATTTCTGAGTTCAGCATGGGATGAAATAACAAAATAACGGMTTGGAGTACAGTTTTCTAAGCCACTATTTTGTTATTTCATCCCATGCTGCAAACGTTTTGATACATTGTAGACCCTTCTTTGCAAACGTTCATCTAAGAGCTGCCAGTTGTTGCAGCACAGATCCTACATTTTGACTGTCGTTAGATAAGCAGCAGTGTTTCTCCTTCAGATGAAAAAGTACCACAACTTTCACACTGCGCAGCTCTTGTGAACATGTTAACTTTCAACGCAGAGGGTGACACTTATTGTAGTTGTAAGCCCCCCATTAACAGCTCAGGCACTGCACACAATGTATTTCAGTTATGCCTTTACATGAAGAACATTAAATAATAGTTGATTTACGTTTATGTCTGCACCAGCATGGATCAAAAATTGATGTTTCTCACTCTACCCTTACTATCAACAGCARCAAACATAATTGTTTATAACCTTTTCATGGAACTCAGCTTCAAAWTATCTAAATTATTGCTTTTATAACATTATTAATGCCTCATGTGGTTGATTGTAAAGGCTTTTAATTAAACCATTTAACCTAGAAACAATAAAATAAATGCAGCTTAGTTTAAAACTTCTTTTTCAGGCTCTTTAGTGGCTGTTCGCAGCACTTTTACTCCAGTCCAAATTTAACTTGTGAGGCTTCAGAGTTTCAGAATAGAACCAAACAGGTTTGTTGTGTCTCACTGTTCCTCTCTAACCTCAGCTGTCCCTGTCTCACCCCTTGTTTAGAACTCTGTGAACTTTGTGGATGACAGTTTCCCCCCAGGACCTCATTCCGTGGGCTTCCCCGAGGGGGACAGCGTCCAGCAGCGAATCAAAAAGTGGCTGCGCCCCCACGAGATCAACTGCAGCAACTTCAAAGATCGAGGTGTCAAATGGTCCGTCTTCCGCACGCCGAGACCCTCCGACATCCTCCAAGGACTCCTTGGAAACTGCTGGTGAGCTGTTGGAACAAAACACACAGCATTCATAATTATTTTCTTTGAACAGGTCAGAAATAAACCACCAACAGCAAAGCATCCCTAAAGTAAAAAAAAAGAATGTTTTATCTTTGTCCAAGGTTGGAGGAATAAAAAAAGAGATAACATGTAACACCTTTCACCCCATGGGTTTTGACTGTCTGCTTAAAGTGACTGTTGTTCACTGAAATTACAGAGATGAGGACAGTGGCAAAAGGTCAGTGAAATGATATGTGAGAGGAATAAAATCACAAAACTGAACAATTGGGACAGTGGGGGGAGTGTGTGTGTGTGTGTGTGTGTGTGTGTGTGTGTGTGTGTGTGTGTGTGTGTGTGTGTGTGTGTGTGTGTG